TCCCTTTTCCACAGGCTTGAACTGAGCTCGCCCTAAACCTTATATCCTTGTCCGGTTGCGGCGGCCTAGATTGGGGGGGTTTAGATTATGGAGAGTTTAACAGTAAAGGCCCAAAACCTTATTTTTGTATGTCGTTGTCTTTATTTGTCTTTATTTGTCTTTATTTGTCCGGATTTGTTTTGTTTTGTCTTGATTTGTTTTTGAAAGGTTCTATTTTGATCAAGTACATGTTGTTTTGATGTGAATGATTCAAAGTCTGTCACTGGAGGTTCCTGTGTCTCCTACGCTGCTTTATTAATTTTATTTGTCATTATTCGTCATAAATTTGTCTATAAATGTTTTTATTTGTCCGGATTTGTTTTTTCTGTCTTGATTTGTTTTTTGGGAACTGTTTTTTTTAATTTTTGATCAAGTACATGTTTTGTTGATGGCTGTGTATGTTGCCCTTACCCGCAGGTCCGCTGCCGCTATGCTCTGAACGCTGCTCTGTGGGAATTCTGGCATCTACACAATCTTCTTCTTGTCTTCCTTCAATTAGTTCCTTACTCAATGTCAAGACAATTCCCAGAGGGTAAGCTGTTCAAGCCGTGCAGTGGGCACACGCCAGTGGCCGGGCGTGGGGGGAGGTCGCCGCGGGATTTTTCGGTGCTCTTGAGGCCAACGCAGCTTTCTGACTGTATGACAGCAGGACACATGGGCTAACGTGCCTGCTGGGNNGTGACGACCATTCGAGGGGAGGCCGCTCGTGGTTTGCATGTCCTTCGCATGCTGATTGAAAACTTTGATACCCTGTGCATCACTTTTGCTTCGGCCTCTTAATTATTATTTCAAGGCAGAGTGCCGGAATGAAAGGCAGAGTGCCACATGGTGTTTGGAAACCCTGTGCGGAGCCTAGGAGATTCCTGACTTGAGATGTGTCGGTTGATCAGAAAACTCCTCGTCGATTCGCTTGCCTGGACCTAAACCTGAGCAGCGGGCTGGCCGAGGGGGCCCTAGATACCTGCCAGGTTCCACCTTGTTGGCCGTGGTGGGGGCAGTGATCCGCTGGTGCTTTATGCTTGGCCACTGTGCGTGGCAGCCAGCCTTGGGGCCAACGCCCCTATAGCCCGAGGGGTATGACAGCGGGGCGATGCGCTAAAGCGCCCGCTGGGGCTGGCTTAAATGGAGGGCCGGTGCGTCCGTACCTCCCCGGCGGGATCCAGAAAGGGAGGCCTTCTTTCTTGTTTTCCATGTGTTGGAAACTTCAGCCCGACCGAGGAATCGCCTCCGCCTCGCATGCCAAGCATGGAGTCGATTTCCCGCATCGCTGGCCGGGTGCGAGGGCCGGCATTTTGCCTTCAGGCCAACCTCTTTGCGGGGTGGAAGAGATGACGGCCGGACAAATGGGCTAAGGTGCCGGCCGGGGCAAATCGGGTACGTCGAAGCAGTCATGCAAGCACGTGACCCGATCGAGATGCCGTGGAACGGGAGGCCTGTTTTTTCGTGCTGCCAAGTGGAAGGTCGAAACTTCTGTTCGTGTTCGT